CAACAGGCCTGCAGTGTTTCTGCTGGAGAAGCACAGAGGGATGGAGCAGCTGCTGCATTCCAGCAGTGCCTTGCATGCAGAGCTGTGCCTCTTCCCTTGCTGGGCACGCACGGTGCCTGCTGCAGATGAGCCATCCCATGGGACAGTCCCTTCCTGCTGGTGTTCCTCCAAAGCAAACCTTCCCTTGGTTTATAACAGCTCAATGAGTTTTATGGCTCCTGAAGAATAAGTTCAGTCCTTGTCTTGTCCTCAGGAGAACTGCACAGATCTGAAAATACAACTTTCTTTCAAAGACGAGGGTGAGTGTTGCTCTGGAGCTTCTTTATCCTATGGGGCTTTGACTTTCCATTACAGCCTCTGTTCTTTCTGTCCTGCCTAAGCCTTGTGCTGGTAGAAAATGTGATCCTCCCATTACCTGCCCACCCACCCTTAGTCCAGACAGAAGAAAACATAGGTGAATCGCCAGAGGAATGTGAATCCAATAAATTGCAACATTTGTGTGTTTATCTGACCTTCAATGTTTACAAATTTGGCTGGCAGTCTCATGAAAGAGGATCTGACCAACTTATTGGTCAATTGGACCTTAATGCTCTTCTTGTTTCTGGTCAGTCTGGCAATACTGTAAGAACAGTTTGTTCTAAGCAGGCTCCTGAATGAGTTTGTGTGCTGAGATGGCATCATCACATATTCTCAGTGCTGTCTCCTGGTCTTTTTTTACTCCACCCTTCCAATTTTTTTTCTAAGTCATCGCTGAGAATAATGGCTGTATTCACTCAAACGAGTGGTGGCATCCTGCTGCTGTCCTCCGGGGGGGTGCAAAGAGCCCCAGGCCTTTTCTCAGGCTGCAGCAAAGCTGTGCTTTCCTGTGTGTGATCAGGTGAAGGGAAGGGAGAGAGCACCCTGCCTGTGTAAGATGGCCAGAACTGAAGCAGTATGCTGTATAAAGTCACAAAGCCCTGCAAACTTTAGTTCAGTTTTCAAAAAGCAACAAAAAACGGAAGCCTTATCTTTGTAATATTTAAAGTGTCTCGTGCAATTGTGGGAGTTGTTGGGTGACACTGTGGATGGATTGCCTGCTCTTTCACAAACTGTGCTCAGAGAGAGCTGCAAAACAAAACCAAAACCACCACCACCACCACCACCACCACCAACAACAACAACAACAAAAAAAAAAACAAAAAAACCCAGAGATTCAGGCATTTCTGCATGTAGGATGTTTGAGAACAGATTATTTTCAGCTTCATCTATTTTCTGATTTTGTCAGGATCCTTCCTGATAAGGCTGTGCAGTCAGAAAGCTTCAGTGATTCCCAGCTCCATCTCCTAACACCCTGCTGCTATCAGTAGGATTTGCCACCAGAGCCTTTGGTGAAACCAAGATTGTGCTGTTAATTAGCATACAAGCCTCATTCCCTGCTCCAGCATTGCCAGCTGTGGCTTTCACTGGTTCATGTAATGCAACCAGCCACAAAATGCATCTCTCCTCCTGAGGAATCTGCACAGTCAGCAGGCGGCTGCCCTTCCTTGCTGCAGAACAGCTCAGCTTTTGGGCATCCCCACTGGGACACCCCGGCTGCTTTCCCTTGCTCTTCTTGCAGCCCAGTGTGCATTTCATCTCCTTTGCAGCCTTGTTGCCCTCCTAGCAGCACAGCCTGCAGTAGGGCTCCCCATGACCACAGTTGTGGGCTGCAAATCCTGGCAAAGGTGCAAGAACAGATGTGATCCTGGCTGATCCTGCTGCAAATTGAGACTTTTTTTTTTCTTCTTACTGTATTATATGGTATTTAGTTTTAAATAATAAAAACATTTTAAAGAATGCTTCAAACACATGCATCGTGCCTTTCTGCAGATAGATTTCATAGTGACTCGGTTTCATGTCAGTTTCACAAAATGCTGAATGTGCATAATTCCCCTTCATTTTGTCTTAAAATAGGACATCTAAATCAGTCTCTCTGTGGGCCTTTCCCAGTCTCTCCTGGCTGTCAGCTTTCACTGAGCTTCCCCACACCTCCCACCACATTTTTCTCCAGGGTAGGAAGAGATTCTGCAATGTAAGTGGGATTATGCCTGGGTGACAAATGCAGAGCAGTATGATTGCAGGGTAGAGAAATGGAGATACAAAGTGAGGAAAACCTGAGAAATGGCAGTGGGGTTTATAGTGGGGATTATGTGCCACAGTGCCTCAGATAGCAGTGGGTGGATGCTGGTCCATGTTACAGCACAGCCTGCATTTAGCCCTGCCATCAGTGTGACACTGCTGCTCCTAATGGCAGTGGGAAGCTGGTGCTGGCTGTGCCACGGGGGCATTTTGTTCTTGTGCTGCATGAGCCCCAGGGCTCCATTTCAGTCCTACTGCAGCACCCACCGCTCTGCACTGCCACTGGAGGCACTGAGATCAGACCAGTGGCACTGCCCTGGGAGCTGCTATTCTATAGGGGAGGAATACCCCCAAAAAACCCTTAAATTCCCATCTACATGGAGCATCTCCCAGCAGCCTCTCCAAAGATGATGACTTCTTATTTTAAAAGAATTTCTAAATAAACTCCAAGCCACATTTTATAAGACAGGATGGTATTTGCAGAAAAGGTCAAGGCTATAACAGTCGGCATCCTCGGAGATAGGAATTCTCAGCCCCTGCAGCTTCCCATAATTTGTCATGGCTTTAAACCCTCAAGTCCCCGTTTTACATTCCCAGTCAAGACAGCCATGAGGTTTTGATTTCCAAACGAAACACTCCACTGGTTTTTCCCTAAAGAAACGTACAGAAAGAAAAGCGGTTAGGATTTTGCTGATGATACGGTTGCGCTCAGTCCCAAACCCTGAGCCAGGACCCATTCGTTAGTGCTGCAACCATAGGAGTGGGTTTGGGTTGGTTGCAGTGTGGGTGACCCTTGCAGGTCTGTGCCCAAAGGCTCTCATCTCTGTGTGGCTCAGTGTGAAGTGCCGACAGCAGGTGTGAGGGAAGCCTTCCTCCAAGGGGCTGCGGGGAGAGCGTGGAAACTTGAATGGCACAGCAAAAATGGAGCGGGTTTTGTGTTTTTGGTGACATGTTGCAAAATAAATAGCTGTTAAAATGCACTGGTGAGAGAGCTGTATACGCCTGATGGGATGCATGGGGTATGCAGAGTCCCCAGCAGCTCCCAGCATGGGCTGGAGATGTAAATGGTCATGTATATGTTTGTAAATGTTTTGGCATGCGGGAGCAGGGCAGAATCTGGAATTAATTTTGTTCTTTAGGGAGGTGAGACAGGGAGCCCATAGAAGAAGAAATCCAAATGGACCAAATGCTTGAGTTTCGGTGGGGTTTGTTAGGTCGGGTGAGACTTTTGTATGGACATGCTTGTGTAATTGGAATGGCCTTAATTTGGGTTATCTTACTCTACTTGTGAAGTGACTCAGTCTAAAATGAGCTAACATCACTCCAGTCGTGGAGCAGATTTGTGTGCTGGTATTAAATGGATTTGAAGTAATACGCTTCTCAGGGATGTGCAATGCAGCATTCCTGCTGTGCAGTCCATGTTAGCGCTTCTCTTTGTGCTCAGTGCTCATATCAGCACTCTGTCACTGTGCCATTCTGTGAGATGCGATGCCCAAGGGGAAGGCAAGGGCCATTTCTCCATCACTACTGCTCAACCGCTCCCTGCAGCAGAGTGCAGCCTCATCACTTCACACGCGAGGAGGTGAAAAATTACTTTTCTGGCTGAAATTGCAGGGAGGGCACAGTGAGTTTACCTCGGCTGTGACGCCATGAGGGTATGGACGAGCTCCTGCAGGAGGTGCAGTGGCATTCATAATGTGACGAGTAGTCCAGCAGCAGCTCCAGCTGCTTTGTGGTCTGTCCCATCCCAGTGAGCTCTGTCACACCCTCCCTTGAATGATGTGCTCTCATTTGATGGCACTATTTGATGGCTGTTGCAGACAGCTTTTGCACCTAAAGGCAAAGAAATGCTCCAGGTCCTCCTCAGCTGCTGCAGATCCCATTCAGGCATGCGAAGCCCATCTCATCCAAAGGCTGCGGCGTGATCAGTTATTTTTAAACCCCACAGAAGGAGTGTTAAAAATGTGCTTTTTCATGCAAGCAGCCTTAAAAAAATATATCCCTGTGTTATGTTCTTGAGGTGCTTTCTCATAATCTCCCTATCCTCTTGCTGCCTACACTGCAATGCTGTATGAAAATGACTTTGAAAACAACACAAACTGCTGTTTCTGCAGGGTTTTGCTTTTCTCCTTTGCTGAATTCTGCTAATCATTTAAGATTTTGATACTGTTAATTCCTGGGATGGTAACACAATGAGCTGAAAATTACAGATATTGTTACACAGATCATAGAATGGCATGGGTTGGAAGAGATCATCCGATTCCATCATCTATATCCCATTGCCTGTATGGGGACACTGCCTGATCCTCACTTACCCATTTTTGATGATTGGTAGCTGATGCCAAATGCATACTCTGTCTTTATGGTAACATCGTGCTTGTTAATGGATCTGGCTGAAATACAGTGCTCATGGCTCTGTCCCCTGCTTGGTGCTACTGCCACCTCGGGTCCCCTTCCCCAACCAAGCAGAGTTTGGATGCTGAGCTGCACGCACAGCCGGGCTGGTCCACCTCCCTGGGGCATTTTGGGCAGTGGGCAAAAGGAACTCCATAGGCTCCTCTATCCACGTTCCCGTCTCTGCTCCCAGCCCAAGCTCTCAGCTCCCGGCTCGCCGGCCAGCAAGGTCTGCATCTCAGGGGAACCACACGCCAATGATGAGGTCCCTGCCCCTGGCACACAGTGGGGACGGCAGCTGTAGGGAGGGCTCAGCTGCCCCTGCCCGGAGACAGCCACCTCTGCCCCAGCTTCCAAGGGCCGTTCTTCCCCTTATTGCAGTGGTTGAAATCCCAGCTTAAACAAAAACCAGCCCCAGACTTATTCAAAACATTTATTAGTGTTTAAGGAAAATAATAGTGTGAAAGGTACAGAGCTTTGTGTCTAAAGCCATATGCTTTTTTTTTTTTTTTTTTTTTTCTTTTTTTTTTTACAAGCTTATTTGGCTGCGAATTCTACATGAGATAAAACTAGTATGTTTGTTCTCCCAGAGATTTGGATTTAAGGACAGTTTGTCTTTTTTTTTTTTTTTTCCTTTTAGTTCAGCACTTTAAGTTAGGACAGCATTTTCCAGGGTTTATTGGTATCTTTTTCCAGCAGGCATTTTGCTTCTCCCAGTATTCTCATTCCAGAACAAGGCTCATTCCAGATGCAAAGCGTAAAGGAAACATTCATACCTTGGCTTTGAAGCTAAACCTCCTCCATGAACTGCGAGTTCATAAGGAATGTTAATTAAAGCATCATACAGTATCTAAATGGATTTTTTTTCGTTTTTTTCACTTTATAAAGAATTAAGGCTATGTAGATGTCACAATAAAATACTCTCAGGTAAAATGCACCCTATTTGTTAGACGTGAACGAAGGTTTAACAATAAATAAATGATTTATGCTGTCAATAACATTATGGAACTGTATAAAACTATATTTAAGTAGCTTTAAACATTAAAAAAAAAAACCATACTAGTGGCATGAATATATACAACACAGGTCATGACGTACGTTTAAATTATCATAGCCAGCAGTGTTCTTTTTTTTTAAATGGAGACACTATAATAAATAGAAATGTTAAATATTTACAATAATAGCATATGTGGAATCAGTAGATGAACACATAAAATCTTCACACACAGAGGAAAAAAAAAAAGTTATGCCTTATACAAAAATCCCTCCCACCCACTGCTTGCCCACCCGCCCCAAAGAGATTTCCATTGACAAAGGGGAATATACAATTTTCCCCACTCAGAACAACAAATGAATACAAATAAAACTGTATGCATGCTGAGGTGATATGTTGATGGAGACATTCAAGGATGTATAGATCTGTATGTTTGGCTCCCATAGATGAATCGGACCTCCAACGAAAGAGATGTCCTGTGTTACTCTGATGTGTGAACATGATGTCGGTAGTGATTTGTTGGTTGTTTTGTGGCTTTTCTTTTTTTTTTTTTCTTCTTTTTTTTTGTGCTAAAATGCCTGAATTGTCTTTTTGGTTCGAGCTTGTTCTACCTGGTGGCCAAATGCCACCAACGGGGAGAGGACACTCACTGGAAGGAGCTCTGCTCCTTGGGTCAGGGCAGCCTTTGTCACTGCATTGGGTCCGATCCCACATCTTCCCAATTAAGTTGAAGAAAACTTTGTCACTGAACACAGCTAGAACCATTGGGATCAAGGTCACTTTGAACAAGGCCTGGTGATCACACAGAGACATCTCTTCAACTTAGCGGTTCTCTCTTGCTTCCTACATGGCTTCTATTAAAAGTACTGCCTATAAATTCTGCAGGTGGATACATGCATTAAACCCTGAATATAGCTATTAGGAGCTGTGCTCACTTAGCAGTAGCTAAAATCTGAGTTGGAAATCGTAGCCAAATTCCAACACCCTCTACTGTTTATACAGCTTCTTCCCACCATGCGACAAACGTACATTGGTTCGCTGGGTACGTTCTGTCCCTACTCAACTGCCTTCCTGCCCCCACAGCTCTCCTCGCAAACTTTCTAAATAACTAGGCTCAAACTCTTGGTGCGATTCCCACTTTCTAAGAAAATTCAGTCTGCCTCCAGAGGAAGCTGAAGTATTCACTCTTGTGTCCCCATGGGTGCTGTCCCCTCCCTTTCCAGTATGATATCTAGGGATAAAGGATTGCAGGTCTGCAACCTGAGAACTATAATTGCATAGGGGGTAGGAGAGATGCTCCAAACATCTCACTCACACTTATAACTGCTTAAAGACAACAAATTCTTGGCACTCTTGATCTCCAATAAATCGCAACAATTAATGAAGTCAGCCCTCTCTCCCTATCTTTGGCATTTTGATAAACCATGGCTGACAGGTGGGTTACAGTGGGCTCCACGTCCCAACAAACCACACCATGTTAGCTACGGAGAAAGGTTCCAAGGGCTTCTGACACAGCCCTGCAAAGAACACTGTACATGGGGTCCTCCAATGTCTGAGCCTGCGCCCATCCTCTCACACTCGGGTTGTGCATAGGGCAGAGGAGCTGTATCTGAGTGGGGGGATTTAGAGGCTTGTGAAGGAGTTCTTGGGGGCCCTAGGTGGAGTAGGTGAGTGACAACCAGACTGCTCCGTCTGGAAGCTGACTGCCTTCGGTAAGTGACTGGATAAGCAAGTGTCAAGTTATGCAGTGGTTAAAAAACAAATAGGGGGTACTTAAAGTTGGCAGCGCTGCCCGATGGGGACAATGGCTCAGGAGTCACTCAGCAGACAGTACAGAGCTCCAGACCGCACAGTCCCTGCGCCAGAGGCAGGATGGCTATTTCACTGCTGAGTGTCACAGGCAACCTTGAGCTCCTGCCTGCTCAGCCACATGAAGAAACCAAACCCCTCTGGAATTCAGCCATCTGCTACAAGGCTGCGCCTGGAGCCCTTGGAGGTGCTAAGCCATGAGCGGCTGCGTGCCATCTGCCTGAGCCCTCCCGTAACCTTCTCCCCAAGAGGGGATGAAGAAAACAAACAAACAAACGCGCAATGATCCCTACCTCCCAAAAAAAGGGGAAAAAAGAATTTAGTTGGAGACGTTTCGCCACATTTGGCGGCTGCTCAAGTGTTGAGTTTGCTGGATCAATAACCCACTGCCACTGCTCTCCCTTTGCTACTATATACACGGTTGCTGAGGTCCATATATCTTGCAATGCCCTGTGCTTGACCTCTGAATGGGAAATGCTTTGGAATGTCCATAGACGGGAAGATGGACTCAACGGAGGAAGGTTCCAGCAGAGGAGGAGGATATGGGTAATGGGGGTTTGGTGCCTTTTCTCACCTCCGGATGTCCGAGAAGTCGGACAGTTCGTCCGTCCGGTCCATGATCCCATGCGCTCCTTTGGGACCATGGGCCCCAGCCTTCACCCGGGCATGGGCGTTCAGGTGGCCCTTGGTACCTCTCTCTCCCTTGGCTGCTCGTGAGCTCTCCCTGTGCTCAGGCTCGGCAGGGACCAGCACATCCCCACGGCCAGCAGTGGCTTTGCCGGCTTCGCCTGTCTTCTTTTCGGGGCCCAGAATGGCATCGCCGTGCATGGAGGAGGTGCAGAAGCTCAGGATAGAGCAGAGACTTCCCCAGTTCTGTTCGCATTGGGCCTGGACGCTTCTTGTTATTGCTTTTTTCACCTCCTCGCCACAGGTGAGCAGGATGTTCACTAGGTCAACATATGGCCTGGAGGTAAAGGAAACAATGAGAGTCAGAAGGGTTTATCTATCAGTAAACTGGGGAAATGGCCTCCGTGCCTTCCCCTCCCCTCACCCTCAATACTGATCAGTTCATCTCCTGCCACCTGCTTTACTTGGCAGCCAGGGGGGCATAAATCTCTTCCCTTGTGGGCTAGTTCTGCACCATATGTTTATTGTGCAGTGAACTGTGTTCTAACTGCCCATCTCACAGCAAGAAATACACTCAATAGCATTCTGTGGAGCCAAGCCTCACTCTAGTGCTGAGTCTGCCTTAGTTGTCCCTGCAGTGGAGGTGCTCTGGAGATGCTCTTACTTCCACCAGAGAAAGACGAGAAGTCTACAGCCTTTCAAGGTCAGGCTGGATGGGGCTCTGAACACTGATGGAGCTATAGGTGTCCCTGTTCTTTGCAGGGGAATTGGACTAAATGGCCTTTAAAGATTCTACACACTTGGAAAAAGCACTGTCAAATAGAAGAACTGCTATTTCCCACCATCTCTGGTTATCTCTTTCTATGCTCCTTTGTCTCTAACAGCCAGGAGACACAACAAAGAAAGCCAGCCCTGATACACCAGCTTGCTGTGTGCCGGTGAATAGCCAATGCAGAGCACACCCTGACCATCAGTCTGCAACAGGCAGGCATTCCCTCCTTTGAGGGACATTCAAGCAGAGGTTCTCTGTCTTTTCTCACCATCTTCAGACCCCTGACACAGCAGGTGCCAACTTCTGCCAGCAGCAGGATCCAATCTGCACTCACGATCCCTTTATCAGTAAGGCACGTGGAAATCCACTCTGGTGGCACCGAATGTTTTCTTCATTTCTTACAGAGTTAAGCACAGCTTTCAGTGTGTCCCTTGTCCCAGCCAAACAAGGACTCCAAACAAGCCAAGGCCAAATCCCGTTCTGCTCCCACCCATGGCCACGCACAACGCGCCCTCTGAGCACAGGCGGCTCGCTTCCTCCGCCAGGGGTCACAGAGTGCAGCAATTTTAAAATAGTTGCGGTCGCAGGTTTTGTGGGTCAATATTGATGTTGTCTATTGACACAACTGCTCAGCTGTTTGCAGGCAACGCAAGCCGGCCCTAAGGACGTGCCTCAGCCTTGTTGGAAGGAACCATCCCAACAGCAGATCAAGAGTTGCCTGCGCTCAGTGGGACAGGCGGCTGTGGTGGCATGCATGGGATGCTGGTAGGGCACCTTCCACCAGCCCTGTGACTGTGACAAGCCCTGTATGACCACCTCTTCCCAGGAAATGAGTCAGGGGAGATGAGAAAAACCAACAGATTATGATCAGCGTCAGACACTACCCTGATTTTACTCTGCCCAACTGCTTAAGCTCATCGTGAATGACTAATCTTGGAAAGCCCTCCATTCCCCTATCTCAAAATATTTCCCATGTTTGGATTGTTTCTGTCATGAAAAAAAAAAAAAAAAAAAGCTATTTGGAATGTAACAGCAAAAAGTCTGCCAGGGCCTGTCACCACTTCCACCATAGCAAATGGGTCTGACCCACATCCCCACAGCAGCTGACTCTTCAGGAAGAGACTCCGCTGCCTGAATGTGCATCATGAGAGCCAGAATTAAACAGAACAAGTCTGGCTTCTGAACTCTTCAGTTTTGTGTTAAACATAAAATAGAAGATGGAAAACAACTGAGCATATGAAGGGAAAAAAAAAAAGAAAAAATATTAAAATTGGGCATAACCTTTACACAAGATCTTTGGAAGAAAAAGGCTGCTGGTATGACTAAAAAGTGGCTCGGCTGCCAAATATTTCAGGTATTCAAAGCCTGCCAGAGCCCTGCGGATTAATACTAGCCCATTTCTCCTTTACTGTTTTACTTTCTGCATTTCAGCTGGCCTGACCATAGTACCTGAACTGAGCACAAGGCTGCAAGTCAGCAGACGTGATTTTATTTCCAGCCCCGCCACACTTGCCTATTGATCTTGAACAAATTACTTAGGTCAAGAATTTCAGCAATGGCCTCTAAATTTAGGGGTGGGGAAGGAGGCTGGCTGCCTTCTATTTGGGGAGCCCCATGTAAAAAAGCTGAGCTCAGACACTGTGAGATGCTGAAAATGAAGTTTAAGAGGCTCTAAATGAGATGATGCAAATTATAGGTGCTCTATTGAACGACCTGTGTCTTCTCAAACTGAGAACCCCCAGTTCAACTCCCTAGGAATAAGCAGCTGCCTTTGGCCATTCCTGCTTTAGCCTGCTTGTAAAATAAGAGCACCTCAGCTCCTCTTTCTACAGCATTTGGCCCTCGTGTTTCTCATCTGTAAGTGATGGGTACCCATCATCCAGCTTACAGCCACCCAGTGCAGGCTCAGGATGCCCACAGTGCAGTGCTGGTGCACAGGGTGCAGCAGAACCCCCTGATCCCCAGTCATGCTGCTGCTCCAGCCTCAGGAACTCCACAGAAAGGACCTTGATTTCAAGCTGCCACGTTCAGTCTGCACAAACCACAGCAAACAGTTCTGCATTTGAGTAACCTAGCATCAAAGGGCCCCTCTTCCTCTTTGCAGCTGCACCTATGGAGACCACCAATGAAAATGGAAGTCTGGTAGTCAAAAAAGCTTGATTCTGTGAAAAATTAATGTCACAATCACTGGGATATGGGGTTTCTGTGCTGGGGATAGAAAAGCATGTGGTTGCAGGAGGTAGATGTGCTGAGGTCAGCCACTGCCATACTGCAGCTCTGCCTCCCTGTTTGGGAGTAAGCTGTTTGCCTGCAAGGAAAATGGGCTCTGCATTTTGCATTTGTGCACAAAGAGTTGGTAAAAAAAAAAAAGCTTGTGCCTGGCTTGTTACTGCCATGGAGCAGCTTTGATCACTTTGAGCCAGGGTTTGTGCTGCCAGTGCTTGCAGGTAGCCACGTTCCCCATGGAGAGCCACTCAAAATCTGACTTGAGCCTTCACTTTGCAGACCTCTGTGTTTTATTTAAAGGTATCTGGGATTAATAACAGATAAGATGCATGGGAGATAACGTGGGGGATTGAAGCTCCTTCCAGAACAATTAATTGGGAGACATTTGGAAGTATGTATTTAGAGAAGAAATTATCCTGCTGACAACTCTGCCCAGATCTGCTTCCCCCTTCTGCGCTACCTGTCAAGCAAGCAAGCAAGCAAGTCTTCCCTGGCCTATGCAGAGAAAGCATTCCCTTGGTGCTGTACATGGGAAAACAAGGCCAGAAGAAGGCAAAACAGCTTTTGGGCAGATGCACAGCCCCTTGGCACCACCGTGCTCCTGGAAGGAGCTCCCACGCCTCTGACTGCGCTGCGCAGCGGCACTTACTCATGCTGCAGCAGGTCTTTGAAGTGAATCATCTCCACAATGACCTGGACGTTCTCCTTGGCAGCGGAGCAGAGGTCATGCTTCAGGTAGCACTCCCGCTGTAACTGGAACACCATCTCTTTAATGGCTGGGCACTTACGGCTGATGCAGCTGAATTTATGCCTCAAGGCATGAGCCTTACACTTCAGAGCATCTTTAATGAAGGATTTTCCCTGAGAAGAAAAGAAATTCAGGAGGTTGGTGTTTCTGCCCATTAAGCGCGGCAGCTGATTTATGCCCAGCTAGCTGCTCTGCAGGACAATGTCAGGGGTTATTACACTGCTGGGGATATCACTCAGTGGCTGCATTTCCCCTCTTCTCTTTGTTTCCTTGCCCTTAGAGATCACATTGAGTAACCCTGCCTTGCTCTTCCAGAGGAGCTGAACCCATTGGGCTTCCACACAGGCATTATGAGGTTGCTCACAATTCACTTACTCAACTGCTTAGGGGGAATCAAAACCATCCCTGCTTTTCCTCTGTGCTGCTGACACCACACCACCTGTGTCACAGCCTGGCAGCTCCGCTCACTGCCTCCACTCTGCTGAGCAACGAATGTGTGGAAGCCTCCCGCATCTCTTAATTGCATCGGAATCTTTTACACAAATGCTTCTGGAAGACGAGATTCTCACTGCCCTTTATCCAAACGGTGCACCAGCACGGTTCCACTCATACAAACTTAAGATTCACCCAAATCTGTGAGCAGGTTTCATGAGCAGGTTTCATTTCCAAGTTGTTTCAACCCAGAAATGTATTTTGCTGATTGAAGAACTACTCCGGTTATCAATCCCTTCTGCTCCCCCTGCCCCAATTGCCCTTCCCTTCAGTGAAACATGCACAGCACAGTGGGGAAAATGAGGATTAGAGAAAATTGGTATGAAACCCAACCTGACATTCCTTGCGTTTCAGAAAGCAGAGAATGGCTAGTGCTAGCCCTGCTGTTCAGTGCACTGTGAACTCGGAGGCTTTTAGATACCCACATGCTTTAGGAGAAACAAGCCCCTGCAAGCAGTTATCCAGACCCTCTGCACACCCGTGGCAATGTCAGTCTAAGCTCCCCTATGCCAGGCTCTCAGCAGTGCTGTGGAGCTGCTGCTCTCTGTAGGCTGTGTTCAGGCCAGATGCCGCTGGCCCGCCGTCATGCTCTCTCCCCTCCACACTGAAATGGGAGAGGAGGTTTACAAGACATAATAACAGGATGTCTCAATGATGCATAAACGGTCTGAGGAGAAAATGAAGGAGACGAACTTAATACCGCATACCATCCGCGTAATGTATTTTAATGTCAGTGCTTGAACTGAAGGCTGATTTGAATGCGGCAGCTTTAAGAGGCTGCCTGTACTGGTTGTGTGCAAGTCTGGAGAACCATGCTTTAATAACTACACATTGGGAAATGCTTTCTGATACATCTAAATGAGCTTGGGAGCCCAAGCTGCACTGCAGAACCATCTTTAAACAAAGATGACGTAGCAGCTTAAGCCGCTTAATGCTTCTGAAAACCATGCTCATCTATGTCGCTGTTCTGATTTAGTTATCCTGGGAACAGCAGGAAAACATCCTCCCATGGAGCTGAGCAAGGGACAGCCTGGCTGCTGGGACACTGCTCTTGGGTTTTGATTCTGGACCCTTTAATAGAAAAAAATCCTACTGAGGCTGGTCATGTGCAAAAGCAGGTTGCTCCTTAACTTGCTCCTAAGATGTGCTGCAGAGCAAAAACACATGCAAAGTGTATGTGATAAACAAGCATAGGATATCTTGCTGCCTTACCTGGGCATCGAATTTTCCAGCGTTGTGCAGGAAAGTCATGCAGATCTCGTGTAAGCCTCGGATCTCACAAGAATTGTTCTCAAAGCACTCAAACACTCCACATCCCACATCACCGGCATTAACCAGGCAGTGCTGGATCTCAGCTAAAATGAGCATTGATTACAGTTAGCTTGAAGAACTGTTCTGAGGAGCTGCTGGTAGGTAGAGGGGAAGGAGAGAGAGATTTTGCTAACATCATCAGTTTGGAAGAAAAAGCACATATGACAACGGTTATCATACCCACAGCATGCCCACTTTCTGCAGAAAATAGGCCAAAACTCGGGTGCATTATGTTATGAAAGTGATATCTAAGAAACAAGTGCCAAATCCACTACACTTACGTCAGGCTACTTCACATGAGAACTAAGGCTCTGCATTCCTCAGGAGCAGAGGACAGGCGGGATTCTTGCTGTCTGACTGTACAGAGCCCCCATCAAATCTCAGCACCAAAATGAGAGGACACTGAGAAGCTGCTCCCAGCCCAATGGGCTGCTGCTGGCACTGGGAGGTGGTTCCTGTGCTACGGCACAGCGTTCTCACCAGCTGCTGGGTGTCCCCTGGGCTGATGTCTGTGAAGTTAATGGCAAAACTCCCACTGATAAACAAAGTCCTTTGTACTGAGTGTTGCATAAAGCTGAGACTATGTCCTCACCTAGGCAAAAATCAATTGAAAAGACATTTTTATATGTGCATTTATAACATGTAAAGTAGATCTACTGGACCTAGCAGTTACATACATGTTTATTCTGCCTTGTCAGATGTTATGTAATAGCATTAAAAGAATGCTGGCTAACAGGGAAAAAAAAAAACAACCCTAAAATTCTAATTTAGCTTTAAAAAAAAAAAAAAAGAAAAAAAAGATGTTGGTAGCACTGCCACAGGGAAGGGGGTTGCTGCAAAAGCTCAGGGATAAAGTTAAACAGGGGTAGCTTTTAGAGTGGGACCGAGGATGCTAAGAATGTCTGCGCTCCGTGCCCTAGTGGTACCTTTAATTAAAGCTCGCTCCTGGGAGCCTGCCTAATCCCCTCCGAACCGCAGCGTGTTCCAGGCATCCCCTGTGCCGTGCGGTCCCTCTGCCGAGCGCTCGCTGCAACTTCCCGGCTCGGTGCAGCCTCCCGCACGCAGCGCAGATGCGAGTGCGGAGCCCGACGGGGTTCACTGGAACCCCCGGCTCGGAACCGGCTCCTCCTTCCCACTGCCCCGGAGTGCTGCTGGTGGGCACGGGGGGTGGCCAGGGCTCGGCTCCGGGCTTCACCTCGGCGTCGTCCGCCGCGGAGGGCCGCCCCGACAGCGCGCACCGGGGAAAAAAATGGAGCTCTTTGTGGAGCTGCGGAGCGCGGAGCCGGGCTTTTCTGGGGCCGGGAGCTCAGCTGTAGTGCTTGTGTTGGCATCCGGATGCAAAACCCTCGGCGGATCACATGTCCTGGCTCCAGCGTGCTGAGAACTGCACAGTGCCGTGATTCACATGTGGCAGTCCCTAATGGGCATTCGTGCATTCCTGCTCGTGTGTGTTTAAACACGTCTTGCAGCACGGAGAGTGTTAAAAAAAAAAAAAAAAAAAAAAAAAAAA